CTTTTTAAAAAAGAGGTGTTGACAAATCTGAACAAGGAGGCATAGTTTTAATGCAAATTGGCCAATTTGCAATTTAGATTACTCTAAAAGTAATTTGGTCTATAGAAAAAATTAAGCTGCATTGTAAAACTGAGATGTTACACAGCACATGGATATAGTAGGTTCCCCACCAACATAATTATTTACTGATTTCATTCAGCTAACAGAGTTTAATGGAAAAGCAGCTGGAAAAGTATTCATATTTATGGGCTTCCTATGACAGTTACTTAATATACTCATGGCACATGACTGTTATATCACAAACAATAATAGACTTTCTGAAATAATATCTGTTCCGATCTCACAAAACAACTACTCAGACAGGAGAGGGTCACTGAACTCATTGCAAGTCAGGACAGAAAGGAAACAAAAACATATTCTAGCACAACTGTGTTATGAAAACTTAATTACAGAGCAAATTTTCATCCAGGCTATCACCTGGGCACCAGCTGTGCATGTGCGGTCTTGCAGCACATTGAGATGCAGGTTGAGCTTCACAAAATAATATATGGATGTTCACCTCAGCCCCATTAATGTCACTCCCAGACCAAATAAACAATTGACAGGTGATTTTCCATAGCTTTGCAGTAAACTGTTGATTTAAGCTGTCCTCATGGGGCTACAGGAAATGGCAAAACATTACATTAAAACATTTTAGCAGGGCCTGTTGGGATAGGACAAGGGATAATGGTTTTATACTAAAAGAGGGCAGATTTAGACTAGATATAAGGAAGAAATTTTTTACCATGAGGGTGGTGACACACTGGAACAGGTTGCCCAGAGAGATGGCAGATGCCCCATCCCTGGAAACATTCAAGGTCGGGCTGGACGGGTCTCTGAGCAACCTGATGGAGTTGAAGATGTCCCTGTTGACTGCAGTGGGGTTGGACTAGATGGTCTTTAAAGGTCCCTTCCAACCCAAACTATTCTATGATTCCATGATTACAATTCTTAAGAGGGAAAAGACAGTAAGCAATTGAGATTCCTTAAATTGTTTTGTATTTGAAACATACATTGCCAGTGTTTAGTTCAAAGCTGTAAGATGCTAAACAATAGCAATAAATTTCGAGTTTTGTTAATTCTTCTTAGATGCATTTCCTCACAACACTGAGGATGTACGTATCTGCTGAACTTCTTTGATATAAATGTTTGGAAGCATGTGTCCAGAGCAAAGGCAATGACTCACAAGTGTGGTCGACATCAGGTGTGGTACTGAAGTTGGAGCTACCCTGTGCCAGAGATGCATAATGGAACAGCGGATTATCAGCAACACACATCAGGTTTACCACATCAGTCAAAACAATCTTGCCCACCTTACTATACACATCCCTTCAAAAAAAGAAAAAAACCCTGCTTTACTTAGTCTATTCTGTTCTCCCTCACAAATCAAAGTATGTAAAATATATATGTATATTATTTCCCAATTCCAGTCTTGCGATCCTCAGCCTTAGGGAAACGCTGATGCTTAGCCCAGGTAAGCAGATGTCTAAATTTTTTTCTGAATAGAAAAAGCAAACCTTTGCAATCACCTATGATTGTGCTTCCCAATGTCCTGAAGTATTGAAATAAAAACAAAAAAACGGTCTCTGGAAATTCATAGCAATTAGAATTTCCTCTGGCCAAATTCCCATTTGAGTACCTTAAAGTATGCATAAAAATCAGCATAACTCAAGAAGCAATCTAGGGTTTAAAAGATATTAGACAGGAATAAAACTAAGGACTACCTTGTTTTAATTAAGGAGATAGGTTTGTTTTTTCCTCCTTTCTACCCTTTAACACATATCAACTAACAATACAAACAGTGGGCTAAGTGAAAATGGGACTGGACAGATAGTCAGCATTCAGAAATACATAAAAATTGTTAGTTGATATGTTGTATTTTTACCATTTTAAATGGCATTCATGCTTCACAAAAATACAATAATCTCTTTGATCGAATAAGTTATGGATTTAGATGATTCACTGCACATTGCAGTTAGCGCCTCTGTCATTAACGCATACATATCTACCCCATTTTGTGCATCCAGCTAGAGATCTGGTGGGCTATTCCTTTCCCAAAAAGCGAATAAAGTGCACTGCCCTTAAAATTTACAACTTCTTTGGAATACTCCTTTCCCAAAGTAGTTGTAAATTTAGGCTGTTGCACTTCATGTGACTTCCAGCTAATAGCTGCAACAAACAAATATATCCGCATTTCTAAAATACTCCACACTACCGCAGCTAAACAGTTAATGACTTTTAGAAATAAGAAGGATGTAATTGTTTATTTTTGGATGTATAAAGGGAGAGTGGGAGTCTTTCATACATGTAACACAAATTAGGTAAATATTCTGCTACCATGATGAGAGTTGTAAGTAGCATAAAATGCCAGGGTTACAAATGGAGGGTGACAATAAAAAAATGGTTTGCATGGAGAAACATTCTGATGTCCCTTGTGTTTTGAAATTTATGGCTCAGAAAGAGCTACTATCTACTTTAGGGCAGGTGAGAGGAAAGCAATTTGACTCTTCACCTGCCAAGCTGAGGAGGCAGCAGTATCTACTCCACTAAGCAGAAATACTCTTGGAAATGAGCAATAAAATGACCTGCTTTCTCCATAACACTGGAGTCCTGAAGAAAACAGCTCTAAGAAAAATAAATATAACAGCAGGCTAGAGCCCGTACCTCATTACTTGTCCTGGAGGCTGTAAGGGCAATATAAACAAATCAAACTATCTTTACAGCAGCAGCTGCAAAGCAAACACCCATTTAAAGAATAAACAGGTGGGAAGACAGACCTGCTCACTCAGTGCTGAGGAAAAACTTGTTCGTGCTTAATACGTTGGAAAAATTGTTCAAGAGCAGTTCATCCGCGTATAACTACAACCCTTGAAATACTGCCAAGGTCAGTGAGACCAACAGCAGAGCGATCTGCTGAGTAATTGCTCGTTGGCAAGTTAAAGCAGTCAAGGGAAAGGCTTTATCCTACTTGTAAAGATTTACTTTATTTTATTGTTCAGAAAGCACTTCTCTCCCCACCTCTCTACTCTCTGTCAGCATGTTTTCTGGAAGCTCCTCAAAAATGTTAACTCTACTGATTCTCCCTGGGATTCTGCAGATGCACCTTGGTTCCCTCCCCTCATATGTCTGAGCAAACTCATTAGTAAACAACAACAAAAAAATCGATTGTGATTTCTGTAAAAAATAATTCACAAATCAATTTTAGTACTTCACACCTGACTCCCTCCTACCAAATAAAACCTTGCCTCATCTTCCTGGGGCAATGATGTAGGCATCAGTTAATACAGCTGTAACAGGCCCTCCTTTTCCCTGCCCTCAAAGTTCACGTCATGGTTTCCTGTGACCACCAAGCACAGCAGGAGCTCTCTGCCTCTCAGTCAGGGCTGTAAGCTACCCAGAAACGCAGCTTGGGTTTTACCGTTTTCTAGATACTCATGCCCCAGTGATGGCTTAGCTGTGTTAACACATTTGGAGTTAGAGCCCTTCCAAAACATCCACGAAAGTTAAGATTCCCCAGCCTCTTTTCAGCTTGTGGAAAAAACAAATCACGCTATATTCACATCCATCAGCTCTACTGCTATTAGACTTACTGTCCTATTTTGTCGCTTTGGCTACATCACCTCTTTTAACTGACTCTCCTCCATCTCTCCAAACATAAAACTATGTTTTTTTTTCATTTACTGGAATTTTTTTGGACTATTCGGATTATCTGTGATTTCCCCATCACTCAAGGTAACTCTTACCTTTGTCTGACCTGTGGCTACCTCTTCCGTTGTCTATTCAATCCACCTCTAAGTGCTTAGCCATGATGCTTCTCACACTTGGGAGATGTGTCCCATAAATACCTGCAGAGCCACGTTGATACTTCTCTCACAGCCTTTGCTGAGCTTTGTGCAATGCTCCCCATATGCCTAAGTACAAGCTACTCATCTCTTACAGTCAAGACCATCGCCAGTTCCTTTGCCTGTGCTTCTTACCCGTTGTCAGGCAACAGCTTCTCTGTGTGGTTATGCCGAGACAAAAATTGTTTGGATAGGACCCTCCTCCTCTGTTACAGACCTGCAGTGTCTTGCACAAAGGGGGAGTAGTGTGGAAGGGAATTTCTTAGCACTACAGCTATACAAAACCAATACAAAAATGATAAACCTTTTGGCAACTCCTGCTCCACTTCTTCTTAATCTCCTTATTTACATGCGTAATTTCTCATGCTAGCTCATTGTCAAGGCCTGTGCAGTGGAGAGGGACATCCCGCTGTATATGGGACACATGGACTGTAAATAACTGAGTAAGAAAAGCTCCACTGATAAAGGCATAGTAATTTCCAAAGGTTTCCAGGCACTAGAACTAACTTGATTACAGAAACACAGAAGCTGTAATAAGGATGGCCTCTTCTCAATTAGCTGTATTAAACTGCTTGCATACCATTTACATGTAAGAAATTTGACGTAATTCTAAAATAGAGCATTATGTTGACAAGAAGATTATTTTGGGCAGCTAGATCATATTTATTACAAGGTGGAAGTGACATTTTTTGTAGGCAAGTCACTTTGTAGAGCTTCTTCTCCATAAAACACAAAAAAAAAAGAGAAAAGCAATAAGAAGCTTCACTTCCAAAAGACATAAAGCCATCACATAAAAATAGAAAAGCACAAATCAAACAATATATTTACAGTTTAAAATAAAAGTAACCTCCCCCTCAGCAAAAGGCAGTTAAAGGGAAAAGACTGAAAAGGAAATTCTTCTACCTCCTTTTCATGCCAAACCAGGTATGAAGAACTGATGAGCCATTATATAACCATTTCCTTTCTTAAAACATCAACCCCTTTACACAGACTGACACGTGCAAATATTCTGTTTGAAGAAACAAGCTTCAAAGTAGTATACATCTTATTCAGAGGAGGCCAGCAGAGCCAGCTGTTTGAATTTTGCAGCGAAAACAGGGTAAAGCATAGCCAGCCTACCAATGGTACAGTGCTCTCCATTCCATCCCTGGCTACATTCACACTTTCCGTCTTTACAGGTGCCATGCTCCGCGCAGCGGGGATGGCAGGCTCTCTGGTTGCAGGCTGCGCCCGTCCAGCCTTCCTCGCAGCGACATGTGCCACCCATGCACACACCGTGCGTGCCGCAGTCCGCCGAACAGATTTCTGCATTTGAGAGGAGAGAGGGGGAGAAAAGGAGGCAGAGAGTACACACGGGAGAGAGAGGGTATACATCAATTAGCAGCACTACATTTTAATTCAACATGTGAAGAATAAGAAAGGCAAAATCTTTGAAAATTAAATCAAAGGAATTCACTGTGAAAGGTATTTTCAGGTAGGACCCAACAGAATATGGAGTACAGTTTTATCTCTACGCTAATGCTCACTTCGTTATCCAGCACTTAGTGGTGCTTAAATGTCTGCAGTTCTTCTGTTAGCTCTAAGTAATTTTCAGTCATATTTTTTGTGATCACATATGTCTTAAGACTAACCTTTTGTATCTTAGATTATGTGCCACTTAGACCTACTAGAATTTACACTGTACTCCTAGTGGCTAAATGCAACATATACCTAGGTCACTGTGTTGTGAGTGAAAATCTAGTATTAATGAAAGTTCATTTTAACAAGGTTTCCCCTCCCTACCCTGCTCCTTGTTTTCTTTCAAAGTAAAAATGTGCCATTTCTGACACATTTTTTCATTATAAAGAATCAGCCTTAGTGAGACAAATTAGTACTATGCTGACATACTGACACATCTGTTAAATATAAAAGATGATTCTCTTTCATTTTCAGTAAATTTATATCAGTGACAGCTATGAACAGTCTGGTTTAAATAATAGATTGTTAAAAAAATAAATCAACATACAGCAATTTAACTTGTCATTTACATATAGTAACAGGATCTTGTAACTGATAGAATAATTGAAAAATACATTAACAGCCAAAAGTAGTCAGAGGCCAAACAACGCATGTTAAGTCTCAGCTAATACAAAATGATAATTTAGACTGCCAGATTTTGTATTTACAGTTTTGGCTCATTTAGTCAGACTCCAGCAAACTTTACTTCTGCTAAGCAGCTAACAGAAAAACAAGAGGAGATAGAACACAGCCTGAGGGACTTCTTTAGTTCCTTGGTATACATACTGGTTCACAGAAGTACTGTATTTAGTTTTTGTTTTCTTGTAAAAGATAATGAACAGTTTAGTAAAAAAGACTGAAATTATTTTCAATGGCAAAAGAAAGAAGCATTCAGCGCAAGAAAGGTTTCCAGTTTCCCACTCAACAGTGTTTTTCTATCCCCATAAAGTATAACCCGCTGCCTCAAAGTGCTGTGGAACCTTAAACACAGTATCAAGGAGCTGTGGCACTTCCCATAAGAAAAAGCCCAAAACCTGTATGGAGAAAGACAGCTGTAATTTCCCCATCATTTTTTTTTTTCTATACAGAATTTTATATCTACTTTGAACTAAATTTTTGATTAAGAGATGCAAGATGGTTTGATTAACTTCAGAGTCACAAAACGTCAACGCAGCTCCAAGAAAGAAAGGTTTATTTCTCTTCAATCTAATCAATTTTTCATTAGGGTGAAGGTGTTTATCAGCTTTTAGCACACTAGCTTTGAGCAAGGTGCGTCAATCTTTGTAATGAATTTATTAATTAGAGTTAATTTAATTGAAGTGGAATTGAAGGGCTAATTAATGGACAAACTGCTGATGAAGATAGAGGAAAGCTCTGCTGATTTCAAACCTATAAACCCCTCTGATGGAAGTAACTCATTCTTTTCTTCTTCTAACAGCTTAACAAAATGTCTATGGGTAAGAGTTACTTTTTTAGTGTACCACTCTGAAGGTCATTTTGCACAACTTCAGGAAACAGCGTGTGCATATTTTTACAAAGCTCTTTTGCAAGTTTAACACTTCTGAAATATTTAAGAAGATCAGAAATATTTTACACTATTTTAATGCCAAATCATTCCTTGAAATATAAGTAAAAGATGAAGCATAACTGATTCATCAACAATAGCGTAGAGGACACTGTGTCAAGAAACAGAGGATCCCATGTTTTGCCTAAGAACTAGAAAGGGTCTCTCACAAATAGCCATTTTTAGTGCTAGAAATGTTCAGAGAAGAATTTTTTCTTCTAAACAAATTTAACCGAAGACAACATTTTCTTCTCTCTGTCACTTCTTCTTGAATGTTTGGAACTCTGTCCTATCACTCTCGTATGCATAAACCATTATGGAATATCACAGATCCTGGTCAGGAAGTACATTTGTTTTAAAAAGATGGTTCCTCATGAAAAAGTTATATTTATTCATAAGCTGGCATAAACCCAGCTAGCCCATGTGTTCAGTTTTCATTAACAAAATCATCTGAGTTGTTAGATGAACTGTTTTAGACAAATATATGTCTCACAGTTAGGCATGATTTCTCTTTTGATATGCGGCTACCAAACAATATTCTAAAAATTTGTATTTGTCAAAAGGCTGCTGTCATACTTTATAAATATTTAGATTCTGCTCCCTGTGATAGTACTTCCAGTCATTTTCTCCTTTTGTTTCTAAGCTCAGACTATGGTTTTAACAAGCTCAGTTTCAGACTTCAAGAAATCCCTCTGCTTCTTCACTCCTACTAACTCCTTCCACCCTGGCAGCCTGCAGCCTTTCTTGAAAGCTGTTCAGGATTTATTCTTGCATTCCCTTTGCCTTCAAACTCAAACGTTGCCTGTTTTTAAAAAAAAATACCTCCAATTAGCTGGAGAGATTTTTAAAATGTGACTGTCTCAAGTTTCGCTAGTGTAGTTTTAAGTTTCTAAATAGATGTATTAGGTAAGATAATACTTAGATCCATATATCGTACAAAGAACATTCTGTACTTGCATGTGAAGTACCTGAAGTTACAAGGTGAAGGCAGTGAAAAGATACCAACAAATACACTGATTTTCAAATACTCCAAATTCATCAATTATTTTGAACTTTTGAATCAATTCATGGTTCATGCTCAAGTCAACTCAAAGACTTCCATCAGCTCAGCAGGTCCTAACACAATAATGTCATTAAAACGCAGCTCTTCAAGAGGTCATCATTTTACAAAATGCGAGTGCTTTTAACCCTTACCGTTGGAGCAATCTGGACCTGTCCAGTTGGGGTCGCAGGTGCAGGTACCACTCTCCTGAAGGTAGGTGCCGTGGCCAGAGCACTGGTCAGAGCACATTGTCTTCAGGATTTCACAGTTGTTGCCACCCCAGCCCGGGTTGCAGTGACATTCACCGTGGATGCACACTCCGTGGCTGGAGCAGGCTGGGTCCAAGCAATCCGCTGTGGGGAGGTCAGAAAGGTCCGCTTAAACTTATCATTCTTAATCAACCCCTAGATGCTCACGGCATTTTTGGGCTTAATTCACATTTTAAGACCTTGTGAAATAGGCAGCATTGCACTCATCGTAAAAGTAAACATTAGTAGGTTGAAGCTGAGAAGTTCACTTTTGTATCATTGCAATGACTGAGGAAAAGACAAAGCAGACCAAGGTATCTTGGTGCCAGCCTCCCTTCTCTGCCCTCAAGGCAAATCACTCTTTATCATCACTAGTTGCATAGCAGCAATTTTCTTTGTAAAAACATTTCGCTTCCACATCACTTTCTGGTATTGTGAAATTGGTGTGTGCACATAACTGACATCAAGATACTTCTGGGCTACCACTGAGTTAACAGAGAACCTTTCAAGGTTTGCTAATTTTTCTGAATTACAAGAAGATTGGCTTTGGGTTTTGGGCAACTGATCTCTGTTCTGCATGATCACAGTGTAGCAAGTGCTGGATTCCCTGCAGCACTCGGTATCAACTGAACCGATCCACCGCTACAGAGTTTTGACAGCTGTGTAAGACCCTCAACTTGTTTCAGAAATAAATGAGTTGCATACTGTCTATCTGTCTTAATTCACTTTAATGTGCTTTACATGACGAGATTTAATTTAGCAATTTGACTCAATAAAATGTTACACTTGTAGGGTCAATGGTCTGAAAATTTAATTCCAGAGACTTAATTGCATTACTTCGTACATGGAGATCAATAAAATCAATTTGATTGAGGAAGAAAATGGCGCTTTTTATTCCCTAAAAAAACCGGAATGGAAAATGAACTGCATTTTGCAGCACACTAGAACGAATATTGTTACGCACATCTCTGGAATACAAAAATGACACATCATTTTTCACTCTGATGCATTTGAATCAGCACTTTCCACAATGTGGTTGGTGGAAAAGACCACTAACAAATGCAATACATTAATGATTTATTCTATACCATGAAAATTGAGTAAGTCTTCCTGTATGCCAACATCTGGTTTTTGTGTGTTTTCTTCTTAGCTGACCTCAGCCAGAAAAAATAAATAAAAATGCACTGGCAAGCAAAAAGATATCACACATTGTTAAGAATTTTCCCACTGATTACTTCAGAATAAATAAAGGATAATAATTCTGTAGAATTCAGTGATACTAGTGGTTCCCAAACTTGATTTTTGGTATTCTAAAACGATTTTTCAAGAAACACCATTAGTGCGTATCATCTAGATCTAGCAAAATCAATAAGAGCTGGATGTGCCAGCTGGAAACTTGACCAACAACAGCAGGTGCTTGGGTATATATTTACTCATTTACCTTCTTCACAATTTTCTCCTTTGAATCCGGAGTTGCAGGCACAAGATCCCATGATGCAAATGCCCTGGCCCCCGCACTGAGGATCAATGCACTGAGTTGTAGGCACATCACACTCGGTGCCCTTCCAGCCGCTGTAACACAGGCAGCGTCCTTTGGAGTACTGCCCATTGCCACTACACAGCACCGGGCAGGCTGCTGTGGAATAAAACACAGCAGAAAAATTAAAACCAAGTTATTCACTAAAGCTTTATAAAGAAGAACATCTAAGAAGCAAGACACACGCCAGTTCCTTTCCTGATGCATTTGTCTTCATGCTTGCTTAAACTGACTCAAGAAAAGCATTGGGTTGATTTACCTCTCGAACAATCGGGGCCCAGAAACCCAGGAAAACAATGGCAGGATCCAGAAACACATTCGCCGTTACCATGGCAATTTCGGGGGCATTCCACCACAGACTCTAAAGGGAAAAAAAGGAAGATAATTCACAGATGCCCACTGCATGAAGTACCTATCATTTGAGCCACTAGTAACTGACAGCACGCTCTTGCTCCACGAGAAGTGTTTACGTTTGGTTTGTTTGAAGAGCAGGAATTGCTGTGACTTTCTATTGGTGATGCCTCTAGTATCTTAGGACATTACATTCCAACAAAAAGGCTAAAATTATAATGGTAAAACCGTATGAACTCCATACTTAAAATCCAGCCCTGTGCTGTTTAACAAATACTTCAAAGCAGCGTCCTCCTTTCAAGCAATGTTTTACATGAAGGTACACTCCTTATGCCTTAGACCAAGTAATTAAAATATATATTCTGCTTTTTATTCTGAGCAGCAAAAGAAACACTATGAATGGAAAACGTGTGAAAAGACGACAGATCATTTAACTACGAAAACCCATATCCACATTCCTAAAAAACCTGACCAGAGCCGAGTGTTCGGTAAGAGCTTTGAAGATTATGCTTACCTATAATTATGGTATTAAAAGACACCTGCTCTGCATTTTTCCCATCATTATAAAAGGCCAGGTGCCAGATGCCAGAATCCAAATACTGGATAAAACCTGCCTCGTGGAGACTGACAGATCTTGCCTGCCGCCCCGCTCGCTCAGATTCCAGCAGGTTGCGTTGCTCCCTCGCAATGAGCCGGCTGCCATCCAGGAGCTCCACAAAGTCATACTGCAGGGAGGAAAAAACAGGAGCTTGACAAGACACGGGATGACCCACGGCACCGCCAGCTTCCCCACAATGTCCTGACAATACGCTTGTATTTTGACCAAGAGTTTCCTTTTGGAGCAGGGAAGCAGGAGCTGAAACCACCCTTGCTTATTTCTTTGTTGCTAATTTCTAAATTCTAAGTTGCTAATTTCTAAAATTACCAACTAGTCCTCGTGCTTATTAGAGTGGCTTTTTTGGTGACAAGTGGCCGATAAACCTATTACATGTATCAGGGGGAAGAAAACATCAACCGAAATGAGTCTGCAGTCATGACTGTCACCTGAATTACAGGTGAGAGCTAACTTTCAAAGTGTATTATATGCATATGGGTTAATAATAATATCCTACACCAATAATCTACTTCGCTTTTCCTTCAGTTTCAGATGAAGGATTAAACTGCTCAATCCCTCTTCTGGACAGTCTGGAGTTCTGGAGGAAGGAGAGCAAGAGCTTTACTTCCTACCACAGAAGTCCAAAAGAGGAGATGGAAAGTGTAAAACATTGCAACTGTTGAAAATGACAAACCAACAAAAAATATGGTACCTCAGGTCAACGGACAGCACATTACTGTTCTGTTAACAACCATCAGTGGGGCTTGGAAAAATGTAGCAGCATCTCATCTGATACAAGCAGCAAACTCACAGCACATGTTAATCTTAATCAGGGCTAAGGGCACCTGCAGGGCTAAATCTGCTCCAGGCCCTGCACTGATGTACGCTATCTGGGAGTCTGCTCTCATGGCTTGAAAGACGTCTTCTGCACGTTTACCGTGGAAAGATCAATGTGTATATAGCGAAATTAAACAGGTAGGAAAATTAAAGAGCATTCATGTTTGTGGTAGAAAGTCTCTGTTTTTCCTGCTGAGTCTGTTCACAGTTTCACTTTTACTCTGACACATGTTTATTGTATGAAGTGAACTGTAACGCATAAACCTTCAATCTTCCCATACGTTGGAGATACCTCTCAAATGGAATTACATCCAGGGTCTATTAAAGTAAAGGCCAGGATGTGAAAGCACTGATGCACCTGAGCGAGGATAACATCAGTTACCAGGACCAGAGAATCAGTGGTTTTACACCCCGACTTGTGACCTTCAGAAACTGCTCCCAGGACAAAAGAAAACGTGATAGCCTTTGTCCCGGAACAAGGGTTTAAGTACTTATGTTCTCTTCTTGAAATTGCAGGCCAAAATTCACTGCTATTCTAAGAATGTTCTTCCCCAGTAATCAGAATTATCTTCCGACCAGTCAGGATGGGAAGGAAATGCATAGTTAATATGCCTCTATCAACACCTGAGACACTTTTCCGGCTATGACTGAACCAGCAGAATAGAACATAACGTGATTAGGATGTGCAGAACCCAGTACCTCAGTATGCTGTCACTTTGTACGTGCTGCACCACATGAAAATGAATGCAACTGTTTTGGGAGAGCACCAATTATTCAAAACCACTCAACATTCTCATTTGTCAGAGAATTAAATATTTATCTTATTTTGTGAGAGAGAGAAAAACAATTTTAGTTGGGTTTTTTTTTCCCTCCTACCTGACTCCAGAACACTTCTTTCTGGTTGTGTTTTTCACTAACATTTTAAAAAAGAGAAAGCTCGGGGAGTTTCAAGTTTTAACAAGTCATTTATGGACATTAGGAACGACCTTGTAATTTGTACATTGCAGAGGATCATTTTTTTTTGTATGAGGACAATTTCAGATTAAAACTGTATTTTTGAAACAGGAACAAGTGATTACACTACCTGATTGACCACTAAAGGCTGACAAGCATCATACAATTAATGACACTGAATTTGTAATGTAATAAGGACATATGCTGTTACCAGAACACCATTTTAGACTACATTTTAAAAGCCATACAAAGGGGAATTTACTGTTCATTCTGTCCCCCAGCAAAAAGCAATAATTGATCTTAACCCTTTTAAAGGCTGTTATTTTATATTTAGGACACGATAACAGAAACAGCCTGGAAAAACAATTATCTTCATAAGCAAAAAACATACCAATTTTATTTTCCTCCTCTGAGGATAAATTAATTACCTTTATATTGAGTCAAAATGCACTGATTTGCCCTACCATTCCATTTAGTTTTGCTTTAAACCAAAGTCCTTTTTTTTATTCTTAAAGTCTCTTTAAATAAACATATTGATTCTCTGGCTGCAATGGAACTGACATTTTTAGAAAGTGTCACAAAGACTTTCAGGCTCGCATTGATTGGGTTTTGAATGGACAGCCACCGTCAATTATTTCTGGTTGATTTATTTATGATTCCCCAGAAAAAGAGAACTATGCATCTCGGATCAGTCTGTGACACACACATAGTGACTGTGCTTGAGACTGATTTTGGTACCTAAAGAGAATACAGAAATACAACCAAAAATTCTCTCTCGATTATAATACATCAAATCATTTCCTACATGCTATATCCCTATTATTTTGAATTATGGGACAGATTCAGAGTTAAATTTGCTGCATTCTGTTCTTATTTTATGATGAAATGCTAAGCAACTGATAGGAGTGCTTTAGATACAGCTGATCCTGTTCCAAGATGAGGGTGTAAACTAAAAGACTTCCTGAGATCTCTCCCAAGCTCATTTCTATCATACTTTCATCGTGTCCCTTGCAGTGGTAGAATAATTGGCATCAGAGGTTGTATAGCTATGGAAAGATGAGACTCCAGTTTCCTCTTACTCACTGTCTGGTTTTAACTGGATACAAAAAAGAGGTGGATAAACGGGCAAAGGGTCTGGGAGAGAAGTGGGGAACAAAGTGGCAAATGTAATACGGAAGTTTTGCATTACAGCCATAGGTGACATGGAGGGAAAGCAGACGTTCAGAGAAACACTGAAGCTGTACGGAGGGAGCTAAAGGAGGTGTGTGTTTACACATGTAGGGTATCATAGGCATATGAGCAAAGATATTGGAGGGGGACAGCTGGTAAGGAAACTTTACAAATGCTGGCAGAGTGCAGGTAGTAGTCAGTTCTCTATTATTTAACATAAGATCTGATGATTCAAATACTGACGTTTGAGAAACAAGCAGCAGTTGCTCATTTGCATAAATTTTGTTATTAGCACTTGTCACTCTGTGACTAGGAGATAAGGGCAGATAGCATTCAAGAGACGCAGACATGAAGTGATATATATGGGTGAGATCCTACTTTTCAAAGTCCCCGTGAAACAACCCTAGCTTTACACATCCAGAGATGGGCTCCAAGCCAACTTTTATCATTTTGGGATGAGATCTTGGAGCTATGGTAGACAGATCTACAGAAATATTCTATGATTAAAAAAAAAAGCCAACATCATTAAGGCAGTGTATGAAACCGTCATAGTTAAATGTCTGCGACGTTCTGTGCTGTTCTGGTCTCAACTCGAAAAGGCTACAGTAAAACTGGAGAACATTCAGAAAAGGACAAGGAAGATCAAAGGACTGAAGTAGCTTTCATACAAAGAATGATGAAACAGACTGGAAAAAATACAACTCATTGAGGACACTAGAGATCTACAATCAAGGGTGGCATGGAGAAGAAATTGGTGAGAAACTCTCCATGGCCTCTTCCAAAACACTACCAACAGGGTGTCAAACTAAAACTACCAGGAGGCTGCCTCAAAACACAGAGAAGTATAGTGTGAGATGTGTAGTTAAGCCGTGAAACTCCTTGCTGCAAATGTCATGGATGCTAAAAGCTTCCACAGGTTCAAAGGTGACTAGCAACTTCACAGGAAAAAAGAATCTGTCAAAGGTTGTAAAATACAAAGACAGCACCTTTGACTCAGGAAGTCCTTTGGCCTTAAAACATTGGAGGCCAGGAGTGGATTGTAGGAAGAATAACTACAAGTTTGTCATGTTGCTGTATTAATCGTTACGTATCTGCTAATGGCCACCATCACAGACAGAATGCTGGGCTAGATGGGCCTTTGATCAGACCCAGCGTGGAGATTCATGTGTTTTTCTAACTCCTGTGACACTTGGAACTATACAACTAAGCTGCCTTGTCCTATGGAAGGATGCGCTGAAGCCCAGAACAAGCTGTTTGTCGGCCCCTGCCAGCTATGCCTGGCTTGCAGTTAAAAACTTGTGTCAGTACAAGCCATAAGGGTTAGGGGAAATAAGACAACAGTAAACAGATTTATGCTTGCAAACTCCTCAATGGTCTATTTCATCAGACGTCCTTTTGCCTAAATACCTTATTTCGTTTATATAAGCTACTTTGGTAAAATACATATTTTACCAGTACAAGTTGCGTCTTCATCAAAAGTCCTGTCATTAGGATTTTGTTGCAGAAAGGCCTAAACTGTTGAGAAATATTTTACTCCATTTTTCTTCCGCCATGTGCAGGAGCACAGTCACAAAAAAACCCCAATCACTCACTGGAACTGCATTTTTAGGAGATTACATACATGCTTTATTTCAGGCACCCAAACCAGACATCATTGGGTTCAAGGCCATATAAACATTCTGATAACCCTGCACCCTTGGGAATCTTCAGCAGCCCTAGAAGTTCACTAGGGCACTGATAAGTAAGCATGTCTAATTTTTCAAGGTATCAAGTGTCAGTCAAATTGTTTGTAAAAAATACACTAATTATATACCAGGCAAAAATAGGACAAGAGAGCTTGACCTATATCCTGGGAACAATATATCCAAAATGTCACAGAAACTACAGAAGATACAGTAGCAGGATTCGCATATGATTCTTCCTGTTGTATCACACTTAAACATGAATAAGCACTTGGGCAGCTTTTTTTGGAAAGGCGTCTGTGTAACACAGATGATGGGGAACAGATTCAGCTACCTCCCTTTCCCAAGTTTTTGGATAAAGGGCACCCCTATTTCCATCTTTTGCCAGGATAAGAAATCAAGGGAGGATCATTTTTCATAGATGTATCTACTTGTATAACATCTCATATCAATGCATAATCCAGATCAGCTTCTTGTTTTATTCATTCTTGCCACATATGTATTCCCCTAGCTCCTGCTATTATTGTTATCATTGAGATGGCATTTGTATTCCAAAGCCCTATTTCCAATGGCTGATAACTTTCTGAATCAATTTTCTTTGAGCTAGAATTTCTTGTGCTTGTTGTCAGCCTGAGGGTGGGTATTCATATGTGAAAGTCTGAAGAAAATCCATTTAATCATTTTTATGAGGATCAAATTTTTAAATAAACATAAGCGCATTTTCAGTGTTCAGTAAATTGTTTGTAGTTTAATGGAAACTAAACTAAAAAATAATGTTAACGTAACATTCTGTGATTTTAGCTGCATGAAACTCCTTTGCTGACCCGACTCCTTCCTCTGTGGTTTGCGACTGCTAAATAGGTGATATAATTAGCAATGTTTCCATGTTCTAGGTCTTTTAAAAGTTAAGCCTGAAGAAAAAACAAAATAAATTTAAATAGTGCAGTAGCATGCAAATCAAAATTAAAAAAAAAGTGGGATTAAAATAAAATATTTGAATTTTGCAGTTATGAATTTGCTGCTGCAACTGCCTATCAGGCATAATCGGTCAAGTTTCATTCCAATTATACCATCAGGTTGCTATACTTAGTTTTGTGTCCAGGGCAAATGCATACACTTCAACAAAAAATAAAAATCAGTAAGACGTTATGTAATTCTCTAAATGGGCTAGAAGAACATGAGCTCAGCTCCCTGCTCAGGTGGAAAAATGGTTTAGAGCCAGCACTTGGACAAATATTGAGCTGAAAGAAATCTAAACTTGGAGGGTCTTAAATCTTAAAAATAAAATCTGAATACAATTGATTCTAAAACACTGTCTCAGACAATAATCCTCCCTTTCTCCTGCCAATTCAGAAGACTATTCATTCTTTTATACTTTAACTTTTCTATAACTATGGATAAAAAGTCTTTCTTTGATACTAGGCAAAGGCATGACCATATGCAATAAAAAATGTCATTAGAAACCTTCTGAGGATTAGAGCAGAATAAATCCTCTGGGACACTTCAGAACAAAGTTTCAAGACACTAGATGTCTAGTGAAGACTGACACTTTTACAACCCCAGTTCACTGTATCTTCATAGACACAGATTATCTATTTTTTCTTTTCTGTGTTTGTTTAGTGAGACACCAAGCTGTAAATACTGTAGCATTTGCTTGTAGAACAAACTGAAACTTCCTTAAAAAACCGTTGTCTTCTTGCTTGGAAATTTGGCTAATGTGGTCTTTGCCACATGTGTAGTCATAAGATGCTGTATTAGTTTGCTTAGGTTTTTAAAGATATGTCTATATACCACAGAAGAAAAAAAGTACCTTTAAATTCTGCATGAAACAACTCCGTATCTAAAGCATCATCATTGCTCATGGCATTCAGAACAGTTCATAAATAAGAATAACCTCCCCTCCCCCTACTTTAGACCTCATCACTTACAGTATTATAAATGTTTTGGACATCACATGAGATCAATAAAGCGTAAAAAGTAAATATAAAAATCAGCAAAATGGAAAAATATGTAATCTTGAGAAGGAAAAAAGATACAAGACATACAAGCTCACAGTTTTCAATAATGTGTCCTACTTTCATTGCAATCAGTTCTCACCTGAGTGTGTGAAGGTGGTAAACCTTTTCGGCCATATACTCCAATCAATGCATCTTTCTGAAGGGATATATTGAATTTCAGAAATTGTGGCTGATCAATGAAGAGCTGGGATCTCCAAAAAATCCCAGGAGGAACTTCTTGTATCGCTCTTCGGCCTATATCAAGTTCTCCAGAATCTATAGTGTTGTTTTCTTGTGCAAATCCCCCTAATTTTCCTGATGGGTTAGAATAATAAGAGATCAAAAATTAGTATTCCTTTCTTGCTTTCAATCATCCTTCATATAAATTGTCAAATATTTAGAATCACCTCAGATAAAATATTACCTGACAACCTTTCTGAATATAAGATCCCAGGGAATTCACTGATTTGAAAATAAAAACGCAATGATACCATAAATACCTACCAAGTAAAAATACTAAGCACTAGCATTACAGAAACTTTTTTAAGATCTACATGAAACAATTCATTTTTTCCCCAAGTATTTTAACAAGGGGTTTCCACCATAAAGCGTCACACTAAAAAAATTTAAGGTAAAGGGAAATGCAGCATATAGATTTTAAGAATAACAGATACAACATAAGCAGGCAAGAGAACTAATATACAGTCTTTTCTACATTAAATATCAGAGTATTTATACAGTATTAACAATGTCTATAGCTCTGGTTTCCTGGTTTTTGTTTTTGCGTCCCATGTTCCCCCCCCTGCGCCGGCAATATTTCTTGCTCTGTTGTGCCTATGTCCTTATGCCATCACTCCCCACAATGCCTACATCCTCTGCACTCCTTAGCCTCAGCCCCAAGCTTGTTATCACCTCCTTAGCGACACTGTCTCCTGAATAAAATGTATAATAGCATGTCAAAGTCTGGTACTTTCACTATTTTCTGTATCATGAATATGCATTTATCCTGGAGGCCAATTACTAGGAATAAGAACATAGCACTGAAGGGCATTAACGATTTTTCTCTATAAAGCATTTGTGCAACTATCAGTTAGCCTTAGGAGGCCAGTGATGATGCCTCGGAAACACCCAGAGGAAGCAAAGAAGATGCTAACATGCAAAAGACACATGATGTCAAATGCTAACACCAAAAAACGGGACTACTGGTTGTGGCATTAAAAAAGAAGAAAATGCACTAAAGTCATAAACTTTAAATATGAACAACAAACTTCTTGTTCAAGCGGGTAAGTCCAAGCAACGGAGACACTGCAGCTCGAGTAGAGAACAATGTCATCCAATCTGCAAGGCTCTGTGCCATCCTGGTGAAGCATCATCAAATAAATGAAAGGGATAAAACTATCCCAGCCCAAGCTGATGACCCTGCAACGCTCAGGGCTGGAAGCTATGGAGAGCACAGGTCTGTGATAGCTCTGAGAACTCCACATTGCCCCTGGCTGTACCACACAGGGACATGCTAAATCTGGCAAGGATTACAAACCTTTCTCGAAGCTCATCAGCAAACAAATTGTGGTTTAGTTGTGGCGGTGTCTTCTAACTCCCAGATTCGTAGGAAACAGAATTGCTATGACTGGTGCACTAAAGAAGTGGTTTGCACAAACCGTCACCTCCCAGCTTTAAAATCTGCGATGGTTTAGATGAGTTTGCATCAAGTCTGTTTGAGGCCAAAGACTCAGATCTGATGTTCAGGCACTAACTCCATGCCGTACAGCTGGACATGGGCAGTCTTGTAAGCTGGTGCCAGGGTCAAAGCCTACTTTGATCTGACGGAATCAGCGCTGTCAAATCTAGACTAAGATGCAAAGATGTGTGTAAGAACTAGCTTACCAACACATGACAACCCTGGAGTAACCAAGTAATGCCATGTTTAAGCAGCTGGCACATCAAGGTGAACCTTGAGTGAAGCAATATGAAGAAAAATGGAACTGTAGTTACAATCTTACAGTCTGCCGGGTTTTTACGAATTCATACTCTTTTTTCAGCAGCTAGACTACTATAAAGATTGAACTAAACCCATCTGAATGCGGTAAGCATGTTCAAGTGACGCTGACTGGTTTGTGTACAAGTGTTCTGAAGAACTGACAATGCTCTGTTGCTGCCCTGTTGTTCAAATTCTACATTATTCATCATTTGATGGAACAAACTGACACAACCTTTTTGCAAACATTTAGACTTTAAAAAACTAGATTAAAATCTGAAATGCCAGGTGAGGTCACAGATTGATCCTCACCATTTTTTGCGCATCCAAGATGAACAGAGACTGCTGCTGAATTAAACAGGTGCACAAGCACTATTGAGAGGCCTTGAGTAGGGGCTTGTATCATCATCAGAGATGTGCCACAATGGTGTTGCAGTCACCGACAATGTCTCACTTACAGGATGATCATATTGATCAGTGTTCTGCTGAGAACAGACAGTGAAATATCTGATCTTGGAGAAACCATTTCTTTTACGCTTCTCAGGATGAGTCTGATGCTTTTCTACCTTTGGACTTAACCTTTCACAATATTCATATGTTATTCTAGAAGATGGATCTGTATTGACTATTTTGGTTCATTTAAGCATTTGTTTCTTACAACTTCTTTCAAATTTAAGCATCTTGTGTTGTATAAATTCACACACTGATGACTGGTAATCACTAAACAATAAACACTTGTTTGCAGTATTGATCTGCAGCTTCCCCTATTTCTACATCTCAAATGAAAAACAACTACCTCTTACTACTGAAAAGATGAATTAGACAGCTTAAGCAGGTGCACTTTATTTAACATGTTGACCAACTTGCCAG